CCTCATCTTGGTCCTCGCGCTTGGCCTTGCCTTTGTCCCGGCCTCCGTTGAAGACCGCTTCGATCGCCTCCTCACTGGAGGCATGGTTTGTGGCAACGACGAGCAGGTCGCGGTTGTATGAGGCTTCAGGCAGCCAAGCTTGTGGATCAGGGACTCATAGGTTGTCCCAGAGAGGAATGCACTGATGACGCCCAGATCGACAACATCAGGAAGGGAGTTGCACTGCTCCGAGAACATATAGATGTAATCTCGCAGGGACTCGTTGGGCTCCTGCTGGCAGCTCTTGAGGTCCTAGGAGTTCCTAGGGTGGACATACGTCCCCTAGAAGTTCCCAATGAAGACCCTCTTGAGGTCCGCCCAGTCGCGGATGCTGTCGCGTGGGAGGAATTCAAGCCATGTTCGAACATGTTCCCCCACGTAAATGGGGAGGTACTGGATGATGAAGTGGTCATCATCCACTCCTCCCGCTTGGCAAGCGAGCCAGAAGTCTTTGAGCCATATATCGGGATTTGTCTCCCCGGTATACTTGGCGATGTTGGTAGGCGGCCGGAAGCACTGTGGAAATAGCGCTCTCTGGATGCGCCGGCCAAAGGACCATGGTCCAAGGCCATCCGGACTGGGACTCCGGTCGTTGGGTCGGTGACCGCGCCTGGGGTGCGTCTCATTGGTCCCCTCGATGGTCTGGCCAGAGCCCATGCTGCCTGCTCTCACCACCACCCGGTGGACGTCATCGTCATACCGAGCATGTCATCGGATGTTGATGACGCTGTGAGCGTCTTGGTTCGGCCTGAGGCGTTCGCGCACAGGCGACCGGTGTGGAGCAGGCACCAGATCATGTCATGGCATAGCGGCGGCCTCTTATTCTGCGCCCAGCGGCTGTAGCGGTGAGCAGATGGAGCGATGCATCTGGTGCGTACCCGCCCCCTTGTGGGGAGAGAGGCCGTGAGTCGGTGTCGCGATGTGGAGCTCTCCGCCTGTTGAACGGCGGCGGTCTCCACCAACGCCCGGAGGTTCCGGTGGACCGCCTGCTCTTGTGGGTCGACGGGCTCAGGAAGGCCACGCAGAAGCATCAGCACCACGACGATGTTCTGTCCAGCCCAAGCAAACTATGGGGGATCATTCCCCCCGTCGATGATGTTGCGCTAAACCTGGCGGGCGTGACTCCGGGCGCCGCTCACCGGGTTACGCGCACGGGGTGCATCGTGGCGTGCCGAGCACGCCAGTGCAGGTGGCGGCTGGTTCTACCACCTTTGTCGTAGCTGCTCACCATGCTCCTGGGCACATGCGAGGGCATCTGCACGAGGGTCCGAAGGGGTGTGGGTCTGAAGAGACTCCACCACCACCGACGGCTATCACGGAGCATCTGCCATAGCGCACTCGTGGGACAGAGGGTGGCTAGGTGCCACGACATCGCTGATGCTAGAGCCGTCGCTCTCAACATCATCATCTATGAGGTCGTGAAAAGATGCTGGAGCTGTCGCTCTCAACATCATCTCCCGGCGAAGAGCCAAAAGGTACTCTATTGGATTACTCGTGTCATTAAGCTACCTCACTTGTGGGTAGGTTCTTGTGTCACCATTTGTTGGCTAGGTGTGTGATACCTATTAGCCGCCGAACCACCAAGTGTTGGTCGACACAACGGGGACTAGCGTGCCGACAAGCACGTGAACCTCGGGAGAAAAATCTTGTGTCTTTTATGTGATTGAAATTCTTCCGATGATTGAATTGACTTCATATTGTCATTGGTTCATTCCTCGATACGGCGGTATAATCACCCTACTCATTCCTTTATATTTCTTGCACACTAGTTGCGAAGCTCTTTAGTGTAGTTAGTATTTGAGAGCTTGTTCATTTGGTTAGTGTGGCTCTTTAGTTAGTCTTTGAGAGCACACTAGCTTAGTGAGTAGTGACTTAGCTCTTTTGTTTACCTAGCGATAATAGTAACTAGAATTATTGGGATAGGTGGCTTGCAACCCTAATAGAGCTAGAGCAAAATTGCATCACACTGTTTGTTGTACTAATCAATTGATCTAGTGCTTTGTAGAGTTTTTAAATAGCCTATTCACCCTCTCTAACCATATTAGGACCTTTCAGCACGCAAGATATATACTCATAGCTCAAATAAAAAAAGAAAGTATTTGGTACATTTTCGGCCTATTCACTGGTTGGTTTCTGGATTGATAAGCCCGGCTAGATGCAGATTTATTATGAGAGAAAAACATTATTGGCTGACTGATAAGCTCTGACTCAAATCAACGATCGAACAGGACCAATCCTTTCATAGCGATGCAACTGGATAGATGCGGCAAATATAATTAATTAATACTACCAGTTTTTGCCTCTCTTTATTAGTCGTCTCTACATATCTTGGTGACGTACTGTTACAAGTACCATTCAAGTTAGTTAAAGTAATCCAAGCAGCAGATCCCTGCCCTGCTATTCTTTTCTGATATATTGGATTATTGGAGTACAGATATGATAGTAGCGTGCATGTCCCTCGGCTCTCTCCCTAACAAAGATGGTTGTTAGTTGTACACTTGTACTCCCTCTCACAAAAGGAATGTGTCTTTTAGGCTGTTTGAATGTTTTAAAGATGGTATTATATATAGTTATATTTCTATTTGAGAATGTATATATTCCATGATGGTTATTAGTTGAGCCTAACTCTAGAAGTAGCTAACAAAAGACTATAGATCCACTGTTGTTTCAATATATCCATGCATTCTTAAGGAATAAATAGCCTTCAAAGCAACTTTAATTGCTCCCACAAATATCATGTAGTCGGATATATATAAACGGTACCATTATAAGGTCACATTAAAAGTAACTGCTTGGAATTATTAATGGCCACTAAAGAATTTTTGGATAAATATTATTTTTTATCTCTAATCACTAGTTGTGTTGAGGCTGACCGGGTGTAACAGTACAGCATTCCACATAGGACGATAGATAAAGTTGAGTTGAAAATAACAATTTGAACCCAACATACACTTTGATAGTTTATGGATGAAATTGAGCCTAAAATGCAAAATTTGAGGACTGAAACGATCATCTTCAGAGTTCTAGGATGAAATTGAGTATAAAAATAGAGTTTGAAGACTAAGGCCCTGTTTGCATCCCTTTAGTTTTTAAGAATCTGGCTTATGGAAAAGAGTGGGATCTAAACATGCTAGTTTTTACTGCCAAATTTTATCAGATTCTTAAAAACCAAGAAGCTGTTGATACCTAGCTTTTGCCAGTTTCTTGTGACCCATAGAGTTATACGGCCTGTTCGCTGGTTGGTTTCTAAGCTGATCTGGTTGGTGCTGGTTTGTTGTAAGAGGAAAACACTGTTGACTGGCTGATAAGCTCTGGCTCAAACTAACGAGCGAATAGGCTGATAGTTTAGCGACCAAAACAACTATTTTGCTTATATATTTTGCACGACTAAGAGTCCAAAGGATCTCTTTCATGACTTTAAGGGAGAGTATTGCCTGCACCATATAATTGAGTCCTGCCTGCCCCTATCTATCTATCTACCTATGTCTAGAGGGGTGTCTAGCTCGCTAGGCAGCGAGAGTAGGTCTGTGCTGACTGCCGAGTTAAAGGGTAGGTTCTAGCTAGAGCACCTAGAGCTTATCTTTCAGAACCCAGTTATTGAGGCCATTAATTAGAGGTGCATACCAAAGTGAGTGATACTACAATTAAAGGCCGGGGCAGGCAGGCAGCTATATGCTGATGAAGCTAGCCGAATGAATCGCCGGGGTCTTCAATATTATAAGCTGGGGTCATTAATGTTTACTTGCAGCGCAGAACAGTGACATTCTATTACCAAAATTCATTTGGGACTGCCGACCCCATAAAAGGGCCTAGCTCAGCCCCTGGTGAGGGACCATGTACTCTACTGTTGTAAGTGTGTCGTACATGATTTTTTTTTTGTTTTGGAAAAAGTAAGGTCCAGTTTAGTTTGCAAAAAATTTTACAAAATTTTTCACATTCCCCATCACATCGAATCTTTAGACGCATGCATGAAGCATTAAATATAAATAAAAAATAAAACTAATTACACAGTTTAGACGAAATCCACGAGACGAATCTTTTAAGCCTAATTAGACTATGATTGGACACTATTTACCAAATAACAACGAAAATGCTACAATACTCATTTTGCAAAATTTTTTGCATCTAAACAAGCCCTAAAGTGTGTGCATGTTGTAGCTATAGTATCCCCCTCCGGCATCCCTCCCTCCCATATATTGCTTATGCTGTTATGTAAATGCGGTGCACACACATCTATCTATCCACCCTTGCTATTCCCTTGGTTGCCCTCTTTATAAGAGCATACTTTTTCCTCCCTGCAGCCTTTTGCTACTGCATATACACACACAGGGGAGAGAGAGTGAGAGAGGGAGAGAGAGAGAGGGGTTCAGGGAGATGGTTAAAATTGCTCCCCACATAGCAAATGCAAATCCAAAAGTTGAGTCCTGTGTAGCTCGCCGCAGGCAAGCAGGCAGGCATCTTCTTGTCCTGTTGCTCTTTCCTTGATCCATCCATGGACCATGGTGCTTTTGCAGCTGCAGCAGGGCTCCCCTGCCTCCATCTATCTATAGCGGTTAGTAGTGCATGAATGCTCCTTCTGCACTGCAGCTCGATCGCGCTCGCGCGAGTACACTAGTAGATGAACAGTGCAGTGAAAGTGTAGTCGCAGCCATCCCCACCACACTGTGCTCCTAGCTACTCATCATCACCACCTCCATGCTCCATCAGACCTGCAGCAGAGCTAGCTTTGCGTCGCGCATTAATCAAGAGGTATGTACTGTATGTTGCAATAACATTTCTTTCATATATGCATGCCATGCATATATGTTCAAGTTCTTCATCATCCATTTAATGCATGGCGTCTCGATCGATCTGTGTGGCCACTGCACCACTCACATCACGTGCTTCCTGATCAGATCAGCTAACTTGCAAGTATATATCACGCCGATCCATCGTTTCTCCGTAGGTCTGATTCTTCCAAGATGGATCATAACTTCAGCGATATGATCCTGCGCGAGAGCGCATGGAGCGGCGGCGGCGTGGGTGCCGGCGACGGCGGGGCGGTCTTGCTGCCACCGGAGGTGGTGGGGAACGTCGTCGAAGGCGGCAGCGTCATGACGGTGCTGGAGAGGTTGGTGCTCGACGAGGCGCTGGCAGCGGCGATCCTGGAGCTGCAGGGCACCATCGTCGTCCAGCAGGCGCCCCCCTGCGCCGGCAAGGCGGTACCGACGGCCGGTGGTGGCGTGGTTGGGGAGGCCGCTGTCGTCTTCCCCTCGATGGCGATGGCCACGCGGCCAACGCCCGCCTACGCGGACGTTGACGCGGATGTCCTGCAGCGACAGCAGCATCACCATCGCCATCAGGGCGCGATGGGGATGCCTCCCGACTACGACCTCACACCAGCAACACCTGCTGTCGCGGTAACTGCTGCTGTGCCGGCCGCGTTCACAGCCACCGCGGTTGACAGCGGAGGCAACAACAGCCTCGTCGTCGGACGATCGCCGCCGGTCTTCTCCGCCAGCAACGAGACCACAGCAACGGCGGGGGCCGTGACCGCGACGACGAGCCTCAGTTGTGAACAAGGAGGCGGAGGCGGTACCGGTGGTGGCAAAAGGCAACGCCGGCCCAACAGGAAGAGGAAGGCGGCCGCCGAGCGGTCACCTGTGGCCGCGGCGGCGGCACAGGAGAGGACCCTGTGCAGCCTCCTTGCGTCCACCACCACCGCGGGCGAAGGCGGCTTCCAGATCGCCTTCAGCACGAGCGCCGCCAAGAGATCAGCGAAGCCGTCGTCGCTGAGCAGCAGCGGCTCGTCGAGCATCAGCTTCGACGGCCGGAACAACCCCGCGGGCAACGGCGGCGTCGACGACCCCATGTACGAGCCGGACACGGAAGCGCTGGCGCAGGTGAAGGAGATGATCTACCGCGCGGCCGCGATGCGCCCGGTCTCCCTCGGCTCCGAGGACGCTGGCGAGCGCCCGCGCCGCCGCAACGTGCGCATCTCGTCCGACCCACAGACGGTGGCGGCGCGGCAGCGGCGGGAGCGCATCAGCGAGCGCCTCCGCGTGCTGCAGAAGCTCGTCCCGGGCGGCGCCAAGATGGACACCGCCTCCATGCTGGACGAGGCCGCCAACTACCTCCGCTTCCTCAAGTCACAGGTCCGGGAGCTGCAAACCCTAGACCGCCGGAACTACGGTGCCACTGCGAATAATGCCAACGACGCCACCGCCACCATGGCTGCTGGGTCACTGATGAGCTACAACAATGGCAACGGTTCCATGCCGGCCTTCGCCTTCCCGGCAGCAGGCGAAACCCTACGAGGAGCAGCAGGAGGAGGTGTTGATCGACCAGCTGATTTAGTCATTTAGTTGGATGATGATAGATTTGTAACACGCATGCATGTTGTTGTTAACCTTTTTTTTATGCTTGCCCAATGTGCATGACACTATCCATCTTATGATGTATTTCATCATTATTAGCTCAATGCCTAGGTAGACGATGATGATCGTATCGATGATGGAACCAATCAAATGCAAGGAAGATGATGCAAGATGGCTTCTTATTAATTACTCTAGTTCATTATATATAAACTCTGTTTCCTTTTGAGGAGAAAAATATCTCTCTATGATAATCAAGAGTTAAATACACCGACAACCCTTAAATTTGTAGCTCTGTACTACTTAGGTCTACGAACTCTTAAAATCAAAATCTAACTCCCTTTATTTGTTAAGTCGTGCACTGCAGGTCCATACCCTTCATGTGGCCGCTGTCGTCACCGTGTGAGTGGTTCTTCTGCGACGAGGCGGACCCGCGGACCCGGTGCCTCGGTATCCAAGGCTCCGACTTGCTGGCGTCGTCGCAGGCCAACCTTCTGTTCGAGCCCACCGCGTTCGAGGGCACGGGCCACTCGCTCGGCGGCAGCCTCGCGGTGCTCGTCAGGCTGATGCTGCTGGCGGGCGGCGTGGTGACGGCCGACGCGCTACACCCGGTGGTCACGTTCGGGGCGCCCTCCATGTTCACCCGTGCCTCAACACGCACAAAGTGCTGCACACGCCCAATCCCTTGCCTGTGTATTTAACTCAAGAAAAATCTTCCTAAAATTAAGCTGGATGCGTTTATGCCTGAGAACTTCAAATTGAGTTCTGTTCGGGTGGAAACGGTCCAGCCCAATCCCTTGCATGCGCTGCATGCCTTTCCGCCTGGAGACTTCACATCGAGTTCTGCTCGGGTGGAAACGGTCCAGCCCGATCCCTTGCATGCGCGGTCGATCCATCGGGAGTCAGACGTCGCGGAAAAGCGCAGGTTGCACCTCGTCAGGCAGGCTCGAGCCTATAGTCTGGCTCGGACGGGTTCTTCAGGAACCGGTCCTAGGGCTCGAACGCTGGAAAATCTACAACGGACGATTTCGCATTCACGATCCTCTGTCGCCGATCGGCCTACCTACGCGGAGATGGCGGCTCGGCCTCCTGCTCCGAATTGGCAGAGGCCGCATGCGATGAACCACGCCCCGCCGCCTCGCGGGCAGGGCCCTCCCCCGTGCGGCAACGGGCCGCCTTCGCTTGGGCTTGCTCCACCACCCTGCAATGGCTCGGACGCGGCGGCGGCCGAGCAGCACCACGGCCACCACGGGAAGAGGCTGTGCACGGTGCACCAGTTGGACCAGCTCAAGTCGGCGATCCGTGTCCTGGACATGAACCAGATGGACCAGTTGAAGCAGCTTCACGGGAAGTGGCGCCATGAAGCAGGCCAATACTATGGACCGATGCCTCGGCTCGAGCGGGCTCACCATGAAGCAGCGCGTCGGTGGGGGGGGCGCGGCGGCAGCGGCTGGCGCTGCGCGGGGTCACCATCTCGGCGTTTTGGCTGGTGCCGCAGTTTGTGCTTGTGGGGCTCGCCGAGGCGTTCGGCGTCATCGGGGAGATCGACTTCTTCTACACAGAGATGCCCACGAGCATGGCTAGCTTCAGCATGTCGCTGTTGTACACCAACGCTGCCATTGCGGCCTCCGCGCTAATGACGAAGGTAGAAGATAACTGTGGCAGGGTGGTTTTTGTAAAAAAATTATCCTAGTAAGCATCCTCTCAAAGGTATGGGCCTGCGGTGTACGACTTAACAAGTTTAGGGGTCCAGATTTCGGTTTTGAGAGTTCGTGAGACCTAAGTGACACATGGCCACAAGTTCAAGGGCCGGCAATGTATTTAACTCAATAATCAATAAGCCTAATGCATGTGCAGCATGTCTTCAAACTTGATTTGGAGATTAATGAATAAACTAAAATCCTTTTTCGCCGAGCACAAGGAAAAGGTCTTGGAAAGTTTGCCCCTTTTTCGAACCAGCTTTTCTAGGGGTATCGAGTCTAAGCAGCAGTTTAGTCGTCTCCATCTTTTCATGTGCGTGCATGAATCCATGCAAAGCTGCATATGCTTTCCAGTGCGTGTGTGCTAGGCTGCTAGCAGCAAGTGCTCAAGCTTTCCAAGTCCCGATCCAAATGGTGATGTGAGGAGAGAAATGAAAGAGGTCAGGTCGTACTTGCAACTCTCCAAACACCATCATGGCACCTTTCTAACACGCATTATTGTTAAGCTGAAGCTGCTGCTGCTGCTCTTTGCCTGTGATCTTATTATTTGTGCATGCGTGCGTGCAAAAACCCTAGCAAAGGCGATTCAAGGTTATGATAGGGCTATCATTGCTCGCTTTCCCGGCGGCGGCGTCGCCGTCGTCGTCGATCGGAGGGAAGGCATCGCAGCAAAGCAAAATCAACCACGATAAAGCTACTGCTAATGGTATTTTAATGGCGTCGCCGAGGCGAGGAGGACGGCAACGGAGCCTCGTGCCGTGGCGACGCCGATGCCGGGCACCGGTGCCGGTGCGTCGAGCCCCACCGGCCGGTCAGGGGCCGGCCGGGCCGGGTGAGCTTTTTAGACAGGCCTGCCTGGGCAAGCTGCAGACGGCGAGGTACAGAGACACGCACACTGCATCAAAAGGGATGTAAAGGAATCATTCCCTTTCCCTTTTCATTCAATCCAGCGCTTTGTTTAAAAGGCAAGAAGAACGGGCCGGCCTGCCTTTTGCTCTCCTCGGGCAGCGTGTCAAGAATTTCTTGATAGGATGTTGAATCTTTAATCGGATTCGTTCTACTGTTTTTCCTTATTTCAATGATTATTATTACTATATTACCATGGGGTCTTTAGCTTATTTGTAGGGTTAATTCGAAATAAAGATGAGACAGACGGTATGGGTGTGCTCAGATTCAATTTTGTTTATTATGGTCAATCTGGTGTTCTACTAGTAGCCTAGCTATCAACCAACGTGTGCTGCTGCACGGAGGACTGGAATCTAATATGGGCCCTGTTTAGTTTCACCAAATTTTAAATTTGACACTATGCAAAAAGAAGATTTCTCGTCACATTAAACTTGTGGTACATGCATGGAGTACTAAATGTTGACGAAATCAAAAACTAATTGCACAGTTTGGTTGTACAGTGATTGCTACAGTGTGTTTGGCAGCGCCAAATCGGCGGAACTAAACGTGGCGTAGAAGTTCATTTTTTGCTAACTGAATAATAAAAATTATCTATCCATGTAGTCTATTTTCTATTTATTTCCAAAAAACTATAAATACACATATTCTACAATATCTAATCGGTCATAATAAGTTTTTGTTACTATATATATGTTTCTCCATCCATATCATATATAGTTTTTCCCTCAACTACATGGTATCTCAATTCGTCTTCAGTATACATTTTTGAAGACTTATTTAGCTTAAACTATATGCCCTTTTTTAGGATTATAGCCCATGTTTCATGATGTCATAAATCTAAATCTTTTTTACTCTCAAAATTCAATCTTATTATTTGTTGTCTCTTCTGGTTCATGTAACTTTTATTAAAAAATCTCCTTTTGTATTTTTATTGTTGGGGGGAGGTACCCGGCAACGCTCCTCCCCTAACCTTCGACCTGGCACTGGCCCAACTAACACGCCCTCGTCCTGGGCACCACCCCACGACAAGGGTGCCCTTGATCGGCTTTTTTCATCTGTATGTTCAGGGGGCACGATCGAAGGTTAGCTGCGCTGGAGCGTGGCGAGAAGGACGCAAGACGGTGACGGCGAACAAACCCTCGCTGGGGGCGCACGAAGGTCGTTACCTGCCGCGGGAAGGAACTGTCCCGTCAGCAATTAGACCCGGGAGTGGTTGGCTGAGGAAAGGAGATTACCGCCATACCCCTGGCTCTTGTATAGCGCTTACCGGCTAGGGTCTAACCCTAATGTGATTCCACCATGTCTCTAGGTATGCCCTATAAATGCTCGGAGAGCTCATATAAGAAACAGGGTCGAACTTTTCCGGATAAATTAATGGGCATTTAATCCGCACTTTTCCATCTCCTTGTTTTCCTGTACCCTCGCTCATCCATTCACCACAGTCTAGTCACTCACCCGTGGGAAACCCTCGGCCTCTCCCCCCGTGTCCGTTAGAGAGGGTGAGAGGCTAGGAGTGACCCCACAGTTGGCGCTCGTCGTGGGGACCCCAGTCCACCACTCCTCGAAAACAATGGCAACAACAATAAGAAACACCCAAAGGTCTCTGCCCCCGCCGTGAGGGTCGGACCCGGCGGCGGGAACCTCTGCAAGGGGAGCTGGCGGAACTCCGATACTCCAACCCGCCGCTCAACTAACAAGAACATAGCTCGAGTCAGACGGGGCCGAGGCAGCCAAAGCCAGAGTCAATCCCCAACCTGAACCATCCAGGGCGAAAGAAACCAGCCACATACCGAAAGACGACGATGAAGGTCCAGAGGCGAGAGGCCTCGAGGCCCTAAACCAAATGCATGAGGAGCTCTAGGAGAAAAGACGTCGAGTCAAAGCCCACCAGAGGCAGGCACGCCTGCAAGTGATAAGGCAGAAGGCAAACAAAGCCAGGGAACAACTTAGTAACCCAAACTATCTACCCGAACAACATGACTTGCCACCTCCACTCCACCCATATCCACCTCCGCTCCACCCGAACCCCCCCCCACCTCGTCTTCACTAGATCTACCCAGAATACATTCCCCCAACCGTACAACAACACCACAGAAACCAACCTTTGCCAATGCCATATGACCCAAAATCCCCATTGACCCAGTTACTCCAAAACAGAAACTGGCCACTCGAGTACAAAACACAGAACCTACCAAGGTACGACGGAAGCATAGACCCTCGCTAATTCGTAATGAGCTACGAAGCGACAGTGGTAGCTGCAAGCGGGGATGAGTATACCATGGCGAAGTCCCTCATGATTATAGCAAGGGACATTGCCCAAAGCTAGTACATCAACCTCCCGCTAGGCTCGATAGATTCCTAGGGGAGCCTCCGCAAAAAACTGCG